ATGATGTGTTCTTATTCACACATTTAACATATTTATTTGTAATATTTACATTGTACACATGTTTTTTAGATGTTATATATTAATGGTCATGGGTACTTTTTCATATATTTGTATCAATATATAATGTTACATCTGGCTAGATAATAAAGGTTTAAGTAGGAAAATAAGTCTTGATTGAAGTGACCTTCCTTGGAGAAGTCCAAATCACAGAATTGTTTTCCTAGTTATTAAGGGAAGTGAAACCTAATTGCAATCATTCTTATAATCAGACCCTTTTCAATTATTTTATTCCCCCTTTAAGCCCTGTTTTTGTTCACAACCCATACCTGGATGTAATGAAAGATGACGTCCTCTACCACTTCGGGTTGGGAACAGCAACTCACAACCTACCTGCCATGTTTGGTGATGTCAAAGTAAAGATTCTTATTACATTCATTTGTTTAAAAAATGACCTCTATAAATGTCTTCATTGTGCTAACATGTGTGTTTTTTGTGTGCTATCTTTCAGTTTGTGTGTGTTGGAGGCAGTCCATGGAGAATGAAATCATTCACTGAGTATATTGCTGCTGAGATCCGTATGGAAGACCCAGAGTCAGAGTACCCAAACATCTGTGCTGGAACGGACCGCTATGCTATGTACAAAGTTGGCCCTGTGCTGTCTGTCAGTGTATGTAAGACCTACGATTACTTTGAAATAGTAGTATTCTTAATAAGCAATGTACATAGTATGGACTATAAAGTACTTTGATATTCTAATTTCAACTACATATATTTGAAAAATTGTGTTTGACTTGTCTGTGCTTTATTTTGCAGCATGGGATGGGCATCCCATCTATTGCCATAATGTTGCACGAGCTAATAAAGCTCCTCCATCACGCTCATTGTGAAGATGTTACAATTGTACGTATTGGAACGTCGGGAGGAATAGGTAAGCAAATTATTAGAAATATATTTTCTGTTACCTGAATGCCTGAAAATAGCTCTGGTAATCAATGAATGAATATCATTGTTACGATCATAAAAGTGATGCCAGTTTTCCAGTCAATCTGTATTCATTTAATGAAGAAATTACTTGACTAAGATTCTGTGTGTGGTCAAATGTATTTGCCCTAATATGGGTTACTTTGGTGATATACACTAGTTGATGACATTGAGGTAACCGTTATTGTCCACAAAGACATGTTTATTTGGTTTTACCACGGGAGGGAGCCAAAGTCTCTTAGATTTTGGATCGGTTGCTATCAGGCCTGATGGTGTTTCTCCAGTTTTTAGATAACTGGAATTTCTGTCTTTATTTTTTAAAGTGAGTTATTCATATTTAGTCTGAAATGTTCCTTTTCTTTAGTTGCTTGTGTCACGAACCATTGGATTTGACCATGTGGCTTATATTTGAAGCCCACATACAGTATATAATTAAAGGTCCCATGTCATGCTTTTCTGGTTATTACCCGTCCACTTGTGTGTTATGGTAAATGGTAAATGGACTGTACTTATATAGCGCTTTATCCAGTCTTTAAGACCCCTCAAAGCGCTTTACATACTACATGTCATTCACCCATTCACACCCATTCATACAGAGCAGTGTACCTTACTCTAGGACCTAACATTCACACACATTCACACACCGTTGGCCATGCCATCGGGAGCAACTCAGGGTTAAGTATCTTGCCCAAGGATACATCGACATGTTGACTGCATGGGCTGGGATCGAACCCACAACCTTCTGGTTGAAAGACGACCACACTCCCTCACAGCCACAGTCGCCCTATATGTTATGTAGCTTTGTATGCATGTAAACGGTCTGCAGAGTCACAAACCCTCAAAGTACACCCTGTAGCGAGTAAAACTCTAACACAGAAAATACGTATTTTGGGTATAACGAAGTAACGTTATGGCCAAATGGACCAATCCGCGAGCCGTTACGTTTGGACCAATCCGTGGAATTCCTCACACACACACACACTCGGCGGGACGTGTTGAGGCTCGCTGCTGCGAGGAACGGGACACTGTGAGCTGGCTCACTGGTGTGGGGTCGGCGAGACACCGCGGAATTAAGCCTGAGCACACACACAAACTCCCAGCCAGGCTGCAGGTGTGTTTCGGGCTGGGTTTCGCTGTGTCTCGCAGGCGGCCACTGGGCTCACAGGGAGGGGGGGGGCAGGAGCTCCAACAAGCCGTTTAGGACAGAGAGTGAATACACATACTATACAGAGATGCTATATGAGAAACCAATGTGAGTTTGGAAAATTGCACAATATAAATCTATTTTAGTATACCTCAACAATGGAATTATGATCAGTAGAAATGGCCATGACATGGGATCTTTTAAATAAGGGTATATTGTGATTTGTAGGTTAAGCAGACTATATATGACAAATTCACCTAAAGACATGCAGTATATTACTTCAAATCAAGCTTTAAAAATGTCTTCGGATTTGTTTCATTTTTTAATAAACGTGAACAATGATGCTTATTTTACTTAATATAGAATGTGTCAGTCAGTGTTTCATACATATATTAAACTCACTTCTTCATTGCAGCTTTTTGTACTTTCTGATTATAAATGTATAGCTTATCTCCGTTCACATTTTTGGTGTTCAGGGCTTGAGCCTGGCACAGTTGTTGTCACCAAGAAGTCTATGGATGCTACCTTCCTGCCCAAGTTTGAGCAGGTGATCCTGGGGAAGACCGTGGAGCGTAATACTGATCTGGACCAATGCCTGGCTGAGGAGCTGTTGCAGTGCAGCAAGGAGCTCAACCAGTTTGAGACAGTGATAGGCAACACCATGTGTACACTGGATTTCTATGAAGGTATGACCCTTGATGCATTGATGTGTTGATTACCCCTGTGTTCATTATTTCAGCTATAACCAGCACGGCCCCTAGTAGACCACACACACACACACACACACACACACACACACACACACACACACACACACACACACACACACACACACACACCTTGCTGTTAAATACCAACCAACTATGTGCTACAGTATATGTGCAACATATATATATATGCCGTTAATAACTGTGCAATATATACCTGGCTGCTAAATCCTAAGAACTGTTACACAATGTGTATTTACTATTTTGTAAATGGTGTAACTTTTTTATTTTATTCATTATTTATTTTAATGTAAGTTTTTTTTTTTTTACTTTAATAATTTTTAATGTATGGTTCTACGTAACATTAAGCTGTCTTTTGCTCTTTTTATGCTGTAACAATGTACATTTCCCCTCTGTGGGACTAATAAAGGTATTCTGATTCTGTAATGTTCATCTTTTCTGTCTGACCAATCACCCACGCAGGGCAAGCCCGTCTGGATGGGGCATTCTGCTCCTACACCGAGAAGGATAAACAGGACTACCTCAAAAAAGCCAGTGAAGCAGGAATCTGCAATATAGAAATGGAGTCATCAGTTTTTGCTGCCATGTGCAAACTGAGTGGTCTACGAGGTGAGCAAATATAACAGCATTACTGAATATTATAGCTGACAATTGTCACTATATTGAAACACAGAAAATTGTCTTTGCCTCGTTGAGTTTCTAACATGTATTTCTTGTTGTTTAAAGCGGCTGTGGTTTGTGTCACGTTACTGGATCGTCTGAAGGGGGATCAGATGAACAGCTCTCATGAAGTTCTTCAGAGTTACCAACTACGTCCTCAGATACTGGTCGGAAACTACATTAAGAAGCTCTTAAAGGCCAAAGCAGGACGTAGCTGCAACAGTGCAACAGTATAAGCATAAATCGTCTCACAATGCAATTATTCAGCTTAAAAAATATATATATATATGTTATCCTGCTCTCACCAATAGCCATGCATTACCTTTATTACCTCCAGAATAATGACTTAAGAAGTAATGCCTATTTATTTATCCTTGGCAAATATTAAGTTGGTCTATTTCACTGTTTTTAATAAATTCCATTACACTATATCACTTTTGATTCCTATTCATTTTGACTTAAATGTTGTGGAGCAGCTTAATTAGTCATAATTAGTACTGCCTATTTCTTTTGTTGATATACAGTATATGATATGATAAATATAATATTTCCTGAATCATTTTAGTTAAACAAAACTACCTTAAACGGTAATTAGAGACATGTTCCATGAAAACTACACAGCAACTAAATGTAACTTAATAATGCGAAATAAAGTGAATGTCACATCATTATTTAATTCTAATAGAGTCTGAAGTTCTCTGTCTCATCAGATTTGACATTATCCTGTTGCTTTTTCTCAGTGCAAGGAGACCTTTGTGTAAGCTGAAGGTTTGTTGCATGACCAGCATCATGAACACTGCAGGCTACTCTTGAATGATGGTCTCTCTTGAAACATTAATTTGGCTGATGAAATCATCCTTTCCCCTAAACCGCAAACATATCAAGAACATTTTCCTCCTATATTTTGCTAAACAAGCTTATCATTTGAACCTCCTTAACCGTTTTGCTAAATAAATTGAGGACCATGAAGATAATTACTTTTAAAACTGGTCTCTATGTGTTCAACTTGAATTTGTATCTTCTATAATAAACAATTTCAGAATTTTGTGGCTCATTTTTCCAAGTAAAAGCCTAACTACTCCACATTTTTACAGCAAAACTTACATAAGGTTACATTTAAGTTCACATTTGATGGTCTGACTAAAAACAAGAGTCACATTTAATATTAGTTGGTGAAATAGTCATTCAAAAAATTATGATCAGATCTGTTGTTCCTTCTTATGAACCCATTTCAATCAGAATTGGCTGGATTGCTATGGACATAATTCGTACTGTATGCTTTTGGAGCAAATTATACTCAAGTATCAGGCTAACAAGTATCCGGTGTGGAGAACATATCGACCTCCTTGCGTCTGCGCTGTTACCGCCATGCTTTAAGGATGCTAGGGTATATGGTCACATAGGATGCTTGAAACCGCTTTGCGCGTCAGAGCAAGAGAGGAGGGGCTGTTGCGCGCTCCCGTGCGTGCGTGCCCACCCTTTCCCATCCGATCCTACTCAGATCTATTCGCTGACTCAGTGCCTTAAGCAGCATCACCGTTCACCTGAAGAGAGCTACAGCCTGCTCTGCGGAGAAATACATCAGCCATGGCCAAAACAGCAACCGGTAAGCGTGTTTCAGCTGCTCTCGTTAGAAATGATGCATGCATGGATGGATGATGGATGGATGGATTGATGGACTTATTTCTGCTTGAGCGCGGGTCGGCCCGGTATTGTCTAGGTGGTCGTGCTTTTGTAATGGCTCCACTCAGACATTTTATATATCGAATATTTAAAACTAAAATTACCCACCTTGATATATGTATCAAGGGTAAGCTATTGTCCCAGCTAAAGAGTCAATGACAGAAAGGATAAAGGTTTACAAGCCAAACATCTTCGTCATTACAGAAATGTTTCCTCCATTATCTTCATCTGCGTAAATGTGACTTTATTTGCTTTGATCGTATATTGTGTAACAGTTTTGTAATTAGATGACGCGGATTGGCCTTTGACAGCTTTATTTACTACGCCGTATACCTGCGGTTCATGCTACAGCGGCCCCAACATGCAGCATAATGCAGACGGACCCCACCCAAGATGCTGTGCTGCCGACCTTTTAGCAGACAACGAAGCTGAGAGGAATCCATCCCTCTGAATTTTATACCACTTATATTTTGTTATTCAAAACGTGTTTTTAAGACCCTAAACCTCTCCTGAAAGGTTGTTTCATCCGATTATTCATTTAGGATTGCTCCTAATCTCAGTGCCTTTCTTCCCTTGTGTCTTTCTTGCCTAGGATGCATCACAAGCTATGACGGATAGGCTGCCATGTATTTTGCACACAAAAAAAATACCCTACTGGCATTTGAATAAAGAAAAATGTAGCGTAGGAGTTAGCATTTGTATTAACCACAGATAAGACTGTAGCCTGCATTAGTCATCTCCACTGATGGACAGTTATTTTTAGGCCTTGGGTTTAGCATATTTGTTTTCAGGGATTTGTTTAGTGTCTTGTAAAAATATATTTAGCATTAGTAAGGCCATAAGCAACCATTTGGTTTCCCTTAAGTACAGCAGGGTGTGCAGGCTGGCTTTATTATGGTATGTGTGGTGGGGTGGAGGAGGAGACAGGTGCATGGCAGGGTGGGATGCAGGCCAGCCCTGCAGCAAGGGGCCGCTGCACACACCGGCCTTTGCAGCAGAAGGCATAGCAGCACTGACAATCTGTAGTCCTCCATGACAAGCCATGTGGGCACTTTGTCAAATACTGCGGGGACCATGGAAAAAGTGACATAAATTGCACAGGAAATTTAAAATAGCTTGAAAGGAACTGATGAAATCAAATCAATGCAGATGTATGAAAGACCTGACCATTTATCAGCTGTTTTTGACAGCTATGCAGCAACATCAATAAGGAGAAGATAAGACAGATGAAAACACAAGCTTCTTATTATTGTGATCATAAACTGTGAGTTCACCCGGAAATTAATAACTTGACACAGAAGCCTTTCATCACCCAGATTGCAAGAGGATTCAAGACAGAGCATTCCTGTGTCATGATTCAAATTAATCAGACATTGTTTAACGAGAACATCAAAATAATATAATCATAGACCCCATGATAATCAATCGGAGTTATCATATGATGCTAAACGTTTCATTTAGTCTTTATCTGGATATCTGTCAAGCATATTTATACTTTTTATGTTTTTCAGGCTGTCTGTTTCGGTTTTTACAAGTAACATAGAGAGTCTCACCAGAATGCTATTGTGTCTTTTTTTCTCACAGCATATAAAGAGAAGATGAAGGAGCTGTCCGTCCTCTCCCTCATCTGCTCCTGCTTCTACCCAGAGACACGCAAGACACTTGTGTGTGAGTTTGAAGGTACGTATCAGCTCAATAATGTATTATCTTCTGAAACAAAAAGTCTCCCCACAATGGATGTTTTATCTTTCCTGAAAATACAGATGATTGTAATAATGACATAATGTTGGACTTATAAATTGTCATAATTGTCTTATTTCCAGACATGGAGGTGAAAGCTTTGAACAAGCGAGCTTCTGGCCAGGCCTTTGAGGTGATTCTCAAGCCTCTGTCTCCAGTGTCAGATGTGGCTCACAACCTCCCCTCACCCCCAAAGAGGGCTATTTCTTTGGAGGACATTGAGAAGAAACTGGAGGCTGCTGAGGACAGGAGGAAGGTAAGCATGTAACCTGTTTTGAAATAGCTTTAGGTTTTTGAAATGGAAAGATGAAGCACAGATTGGATGTCAAACCAGTCAAAATCAATCAATTGGTCTTGTTTTGGTTTTTAGTATCAGGAGGCCCAGGTGATGAGGGCTTTGGCAGAAAAGCGCGACCATGAGAGGGATGTGTTGCTAAAGGCCATGGAGGAGAACAGCAACTTCAGCAAGATGGCTGAGGAGAAGCTCCAGTATAAGATGGAGCAGATCAAGGAGAACCGTGAGGCCCATTTGGCAGCCATGCTCGAGCGTCTACAGGAGAGGGTGAGAAATGCAGAGATATCACTTTTTTTATTTTTCCTCCAAGCCTGAGTATAATTAGGTTTGGGGCCCCATCTGATGACTAATGTTGTACTTTCTGTTGCGGTGTGTTTAGGAGAAACATGCAGCTCTGGTGCGCAAGAACAAAGAGCTGAGGGAAGAGCTGACAGCATGAGCCTCACACAGTCCTGACTTCCATGATCCATCAACGTCCCGTCATCAAACCCCTCCCTCTTCCTTGCCCTGCCCTCTCTCTCCTCAGAAAAGACCCAACTCTGGAGGCTGAGAGGTCTGAAGATCTTACCACCACATCACACCACACCTCACCACCAGTACTCACCACTATCAGTATTATCCGTGGATACAAACATCAATAACAACGATCTAGAGAGTTGAATGGAGTTGTTGATTTAACAGAAAATGTGAGATTATGGCTTTTATTTTGTAAATACTTTTCCTTAAAAAGTCTTTCTTTCTTTCTTTCTTTCTTTCTATCTATCTATCTGTCTATCTTTGATGGTAGGTAAAGTACATGCAAAGATTGTACTGTACTGCACTGTACAATTTCAAACATTTTGTTTGTGATTGATTAACGTTTCAGTTCTTGAAATTTGACTATACAACCATTTTCTTGTGAAAGCCGTTGGTGTTGTGAGTTGGCTGTAGACTGGCATTTGCAGTGTTTTCTGATGATGTCATGATGATGATGTTTCTGTGTCTTTGTGAAGAATGACGGACGGTGTAGCTACACCACAGGCTCCTTTTGAGATATCAACGTATCCTATCTGTATCTTCCTCACGCACACCCACTCATTCTCAACACGCACGCTTTGAACTTAACAATACGCCACAGATCCATAAAGTGTCCACCTTCTCTGAAATGAGCTTGATAATGAACTAGAGAGGGCCTTTTTTGTTATTAAGAATATCTTTTCCCAATGGGAGTTTATACACTTGCAGATTCCCAGTTACCCTAAAAACAACCTTTCTCAATGAATCCATCTTCAGCTAAGTACTTAGCTCTGTTATATACACAGTATTTGGGCACTACGCTCTTGAATGTTTTGACACCAGACTGGTACCATGCAAATTGTCTTGGACAGTGGAATGTGCTGTTGCTCCCACCTTGATATTGATAGTGTGAACATACGAATGTCTGTGTGGGTGTGTATGAATGCTAATTTACCACAATGCACCATTAGCCTCTGCTCTCTTTTGGGGATTAGATGGAGAATGGATGCAGAATGCTTTACATTCAGCACCTGAACTAGTATCTTTTTAATATCAATGCCACTGATATCTGCCTGCATCCTCTGCTGCTTGTGTTTCTCCCTTCATATATTTCTCTGTGAAAGCTTTGCTGAATAAAGGTTTGAGGTTCTGTGAACATGGCATGCACCATCTAATAGTTTTCTGCGCTAAAAGAAGAGGGAAAATGTAAACTGCCAAATAAAGTAACCAGTTATCTACACATCATGAGAATCACCGTCTTCCCTGGTGGATTTTTTATTAATACATTTGGTATACTGTAGACTCTTTTTGGCATAGTTAAAACATATAGTCCTATTCCTTGAGGGTTAGACTTACATTAAAAATATAAAATAATTATCAGGTATGCATAAGACAAGTTGTTCCACTAGGTGGCAGTGACACCAAAGAAACCAAGCTGGAGCCCATACCAATCGAAAAGTAGGCCAAAAAATAATAATATGCCCAATCCTTATATTGAAGAAATACACCTTTAAAAAAAAAAACACAGATAAAAATTCCAGATAAGGTGTGTTTGATATTTTATGAAAGTAATGATTTGTAATTTAAATAACACCCTCATCCAGAAGGAGAAGGGTTTGTGTCATTCATCAGCACTCAGGACATCGAATGCAGACACTCTTATACATGTACATGTTTTAAATTGACTTATATTTCAAAGGAAGACTATACAGTTTTGTAAAAGAAATTAAGAGACCACTCCAAATGTTTCTTAAATCTCAATCTCTACATGTATGGCAGCCATTCCATTACAGTGTCTGTTGAATTCCCACACTGAGAAATGTTGTCAGTAGTTTATAGAATAACATTTTTATTTTATTGTACTCAAACACATTACTTGAAATAGTAAAACCAGAGAAACTGATAATGCTGCAGTGGTCTTTTCATTTTTTCCAGAGCTGTATATAAATATACATATGTCATAAATAGCGTGTGGCCTAAGCCTTGAGAAACAAATTACAGCCTTCCCCTCCTGGAAGCCCGAGGTGTTGCATGGATGCATAAAACTGAGTTACTAATAAACACTAACACCTAAATAAATCAGTGATTCTCAGATTGTCCCAAAAACAAAATCATGCTGGACAGTGATTTATAGCTCCAGCTGTATTGTTGTTACTTTTTAACCTCTTTCTTACAATGTCCCCATCCTGTTCACACTATTGTCTCCGTTTCAGACCAACCCAGGCTGGTGAGGTCAGGGCAACATTGTAAAGGATTTCCTCTGACTCTTAATGATTTCCTGGGTATTCATAGGGGCAACAATGTTCTCAGATTCGGTTACTTACCTGGCACACAGTAAAGGAATGCCTTTCAGTCAATAACTGGGACCTTATTATCTCATGATTAACTTCCACTGGACTGAAACAAAAATGCACCTGCAGATTATGTCATTAGGGAAGATACATTCATAATCACTCGGAAGGCTGTAAGTCTGCATATATAAGGAACAAATATCAACCTATTATACATTAGGCAATCAGACTGTAAAGGAGCAAATGCAACATGTTTTAAACTTTTTACACAATTTATTGGTACAAAAATATTACAAATAGATACAAGAAGGCAAGTTTCAAATGTTCAAGTGGTTAGTTTTCCAATAATGGCACATATTAAATGTTTGTTTAACGCCACAAGTTCTCATACCACTAAAGATGAAGACCAAATTAAGTGACATTATGTTAAAAACAGACATCCGCCATTGACAAATGTAGAAGTGTGGTCTACAAAACATTACCTCTACATCTGTGCTTACAGTATTCATGTATTCATGGCCCATATGTCACGTCATGATTTCAGTTCTCAGCCCGTGGACAGTGCATGTTAACAAATTTAGTGAAACATAGACTAACATAAAATCATTTATAATTCCTTTCTTTAGAGTAATGACATACTGAGGACGATCTCTCCAACTTATTCTGTATATTTAATAAAATAAATTCAGCTTGCTTTGTTCCCCTGTATTTTATTGCTATGAGGAAGGTTGTCCGCCTAGTCTATGGTGGTGGGCACAGCTCAGCTGTTGCCTTCAGTCCAGTTGTTCAGAAGGCCCCAATTTCCGTACCCCACGGCCTGTAGGGCTTTGAGAGGGTGGAGGAGGGGCTCACTGTGCCGAGGGCTGTCGGGGACACCAGGGGGAAGGCACCGAAGGAGAGGGGGAAGGCCGACAGCGAGGAGAGGGATGAAAGGAGTGGGGGCAAAAGCTTGGATGTTGGCACAGACAGACTGAGGGTCAGCGAGCCGTTCGGGGGCACCCTGAGGTTCTCTGTGTGGGGCATGACACCCAGTCTGGAAGTCCCAGATGCCTCGCTGGAGGGGGAGGAAGATGTGGAAGAAGAAGAGGAGGAGGGTGGGCTACTTTTGCTTCTGGATGCAGGTGTCCTGCCCAGAGGGTGTTGTAGGAGTAGGGGGTGGTGGAGATGGGCATGGGCAGTCCCGTATGCTGAGCCCCAGGCTAAGTGTTCCAGTCCAGTGTGCACCTCCCTCTGAGAGGCGTAGTTGCTGAGGTGGGACACCAAACGTACACGCAGGGGGTCTGTCCCATCCCGGCCTTCGATAATGCTCAGGTAGCGAGCTGTCTCTGCCAGGCACTCTCTGAAGCCAAGAGAGCGGTAATCCTTAGCGAGTGCATGAGCCTCAAAGAAACCTGTCGGGAGAGGATCAGAGGGGTTAGACATGTGATTCATAGCAGACGCATTTTCCATTAGCGAATCATAGCATTCATTTGGACAGCCAAAGAAAGGGTATGTTACCTTTGCCACCAGATGCATGAAGCATCTTTAAATGGTCCACAGTCATTTGTAAAATTTCAGCTTTTTCCAATTTAGCTGATCCCTATAAAAAGATGGAAAAGACATTGTCACTTTTGCAATACTGATATTTCCTATGCTGTGTTCATAGAACAAACATAAATTGGCAAATATGAGCCTTCTCATAAGGAAAGAATGCAAGTAACGTTTACCTGTTTCTCAAAAGCACTTGGCACCAATCTTCTCAACTCTGACAGACTGCTATTGATTCGGTCACGTCTCCGTTTCTCAATAATCTGTCAATTGGAAAAATACACAATGTAATGTAGGTCACAGGTGGCAGGGACACATTGGGATCAGCAGTGCGTAACTTGGCACCAAAAATAATGAGTTATCGTACCCCTCTGCGCCTTTTTCTAGCTTGAACTTGGGTGGTTGTGGAGGGTGACATCGAGCCGTGAGAATCAAGTTGACTGAAAGGTAAAACAGCAAAAGTTATTATTTTGTTTAAACAAGACATAGCAAAGTTTCTCTGAATGTATCAACAATTCCAAGATAACTAATTCAACTTCACATAAAACGAAATAGAAATGTTGCATACGAATTTGCGTTTTCGGCAACAACAAAAAAGTGAACTTACCCATTTTCGTCACCACTATCCTTCTCCACCTCAATATTGTCGTCCAGGTCGCTCTCCGAAGAGCTGTAATTGTGGCTTCGCTTCATTTTGCTTCCAACTAGACAGAGATCCAAAGTGTTGCTTTCAGGGACAGCTCCGGTGGTGCACTGACAGCAGAGGGTCTCAAGAACAGTTTAAACATCGGACCTGCTCTGATCATTTTCACACCGCGCACAGGGGGGCGGGACCCCAGAGGGATGTGGGCGGTGCATGAAAAGATTTCAGCCTGTTAAAATCGCGCTGGCATTTGAATGACACATGCTTTACCAGAAAAATAGTTAAGAAAAATCAATGAGCTAGATATCAGAATCAGAATCAGAAACAGGTTTATTACCAGGTAGGTTAACACACACGAGGAATTGTACTTGGGGTTGTGGTGCATCCATAAAATAAAACACAGATAGAAAACTATTTGAAGAAAACTATAATAACATAAAAATATATAGTAAAAAATAGCAGTATTTACATTGAATATGGTTGTAATCCTAGAGATAGAATTGAATAAAATATGTGCAGTAATAAAAAATCAAAGATATTGTATACATTGTGTGCATTAATGTAATGCATAGGGTCTATGATGTGGCTGAGGTGGGGCCGGGCCTGAGGCCGGTAGCAGAGGGGATAAAGCAAAAACAAATGAATATTTAAAGTTGAATAATAAAAGCAGGATTTTTGTATAGAGAGTATGAGTCTGAGGCCTAGCAGCCTCCCGGCCCCCCCAGGTCCCCAGCCTCCCTGCTGAGACCCCCAGTTCATGAGCAACAGGCCACATTATAGCAGGAGCCCTCTTCTTCATTGGTGTTGTGGAGGACACATGGCCTATTTGCAGAGTGTGTTGTTCATTGTCTGCTGTCAGCTGTGTGGTTCCACAACAGCATTGATCAGCCGGGAGGCCCAACATTAGTCAGCCGGCGTTGCCAGGCTCTCCTAGGAAACCCCCTCACCCAGCCACTGCAAACAGGTCAACTGACTGGCGCAGACAGACCTTCCCAGGGAAGCATTCATCCGCCGTGGGTGAAAACAGGGGGGGAAAAAAGACTTTTAATCATGCTGATGCTCAATCTCATCCTCTTCTTCAAAGTCACTGTCAGACTCAGAATTCTCAGAAATGTGATCCTCACATTCTGAAACCTTTTCCTCTTCCTCTTCCTCTACATAGTCATAAAATGGTTCTCTCTCTCTTCCAGAATTATTTGCAAGGCCCGGGTAACACGTATGTAATGCAAATGTGTAGGGGGGGTGTACATTGGGTGGTCATTGAAAATGTGATCTGATATAATGTTCTTCACAGAAAATGATCCAAGGCCATTGAGTGTGGGTTTGTAAAAATAATTGATCATATAATTTTTCTTTAGCTAAATAATGAAAACGGGTCCCACAGACCCGAATACCATACAAGGGTTAAAAAAAAAAATACAAACCTAAACGGGGAGCAGGGGTGGTAGAGAAGGTGTTAATATTTTTGACCTCACCAATACGCTCAGGTCAGAGGACACACTATAAAACACGGGTTTTCAATGTTTATGTTCTACTGTGTAACTGATCCCTTCTTGCTGTTTGTTTACTAGTGTCTGTCAAAGAGAAAGAGACATGGGTTACTGATACAGTGGGGTAAAAGTATTTAGTCAGCCACCAATTGTGCAAGTTCTCCCACTTAAAAAGATGAGAGAGGCCTGTAATTTTCATCCTAGGTATACCTCAACCATGAGAGACAAAATGAGAAAAAAAAATCCAGAAAATCACATTGTCTGATTTTTAAAGACTTTATTTGCAAATTATGGTGGAAA